AATCAGGAGATTGCCAAGCGTTCGAGACGTAGGGGGCTCTGCCCGAAGAGACTTCAAGAGTCGAAGAGGCTATATGCCGAAGCGGCCCCTTAAGAAGAGGGCAACTACGATGGTCTTTCGTTCGAAAGAACGGACAATCATCATTTATTTGGCCACGTTGTCCCTCCTATATTTTTATACGTATTTTGTCAGGATTGACGGGGAGAGACGGTGAACAATCGTTTTCAAGAAATTTTCTCGAATCTACATTTAAGTAAGATAAATATATTACATTTTAGTCACGCCAAGTAATGTATAATTGAATATATTTTTTCTGGGTCAATTATACGAGATCGATGCACCGCGAAATATTCTTGACTTTAATGGTTAAGTTAACAAGTCATTAGCTCTTGTATCACCGTCTCTTTCTCGCTTTCCCAATGGCTTCGTTTGTGCCTTCGTGTTCCCTTTCGGCTTTAGGTGGGCTACTTCGGAGAATCTGGCGACTTCCTGGCGTTTCTTCAATTTTCGGTTTTACCTGTACTTTTGTGCCCCTTTGCAGGTTTAGGTGGATCACCTGGAAGTAGCCATTTTTGGTAAAATCATCATGGGCAGTTAATCGAAATCGAGCTTGCTGCAATTGTCGGTAGAAGGTGGTAAAATATGTTAAACGATGTTTGTCAATTTTTTTCGCGATGCGAACTGCGTCCACGGTAGCTTGATGGGGAAACTTGTTCCGTTTAAATTGATCTCTCGAACTAGTGGCTGTGATTTTTTTCGGAGGAGATGTAGGGTTTTGGAGTTTTTGTGAGGAGTTCATCGCTTTTTCAGCCGGTTCTCGGGCTGCCCAGAGTTGTAACAGATGGCAAATACATTAGCCGTCTGCATCCTCGACCGGAGGTCACCCTACCCGTGAACAATCTCCCAACTCATCTCTCGTTTCGCCGCGGCATCCGGTCCCTTATCCATCGCGTCGGTCGCGAACGCCCCGTACCTGAACCGAACCTGTCCGTTCAGGTACCGGAAGTTGGGACCCGGGGGAATCGACGGCGGACGTCGTCTGGAAGCGAAACTTCCTTTTCCGTATTCTCCTACGCCGCGTAGTTTCCGACTTACGCCCCTCCAAAAAACCGACCAATCAGAGCGCAGCATTCTTATTTCCGCTGTATCTCCGGAACCACGGGTCGTAGAAAAAAATGGTAAAGGAAGTTTCGTCGCGGAATCCAGTCCCCTATCGATCGCGCTGGTCGCGAACGCCCCCTACCTGAACCGACCCTGTCCGTTCAGGTACCGGAAGTCGGGACCAGGGGGGATCGACGGCGGACCTCGTTTGGAAGCAAAACTTTCTTTTCCGTTTTGTCCTACGCCGCGTAGGTTCCGAGTTACGCCCCGCCAAAGAACCGACCAATCAGAGCGCAGCATTTTATTTCCGCTGTATCTCAGGAACCACGGGTCATAGAAAAAAGCGGTGAAGGAAGTTTCGCCGCGGAATCCAGTCCCCTATCCAGCGCGCTGGTTACGAACGCCCCTTACCTGAACCAAGCCGATTTCATTCGGGTACCGGAAGTTGGGACCCGGGGGGATCAACAACGAACGTTATTTGGAATCGAAACTTCCTTTGCCGTCTATTCCGCGGACGGTCGGGCGTCGTAAGGCGTAAGGGTTAGGGTGAGTCAGGAATAGGTTATAATGGGTTACCAATGAGTTAGGATGGGTTAGGATGAGTTAGAAATAAGTTACGATGGTTTACGATTCCTTAGAATAGGTTAGGATGGGTTAGAAACCCGGTCCCCTCCAACGCCCCGATGGTGGCCATCCTCGGGGGCGGGGGTGTGCGTAGGCATTTTCTCCAGGTTAAGGCTAAAAAATTTATGTAGAGTCATCTGCAGTGTTCTGCAGCATTTATTTTCCACTATACTTTCGGAACTACACGGTGAAAAAAAAAAATGGTAAAGAAACTTTCGATGCAGAATTAAATCACCTATCCATCGCGCAAGGTCCGAACGTTCCCTACCGGAACCGATCTAATCCGTTCCGGTATTGGTGGCTGCACCCCGGAAGAATCGATAGTGTCATTTGGAATCGACAGTTCCGTTTTTTCCTGCAATGCGGCGTTTTGAACATCATAAAAACCTATCCTAACCGTCGTCATGTTGTTCTCACCCAATCCAGACCCTTTTCTAACCCTCATTAGCCACGCGTGATCGTCATAATCCTATTGTCACACGCTTCTGTTTCCATGGGGTACATTCCAAACGTCCCCTATCTTCACCGACCCTCGTCCGTTCAGGTAGGGAGAGATAGAAGGGATCATTTGGAATCGATAATTCCTTCACGATCTTTGTTATATGACTTGTAGTTCCGAAGTTTCCTAGGTAGATCGAACGATTTTGAATCAAAAGCTCCGTTCCCATTTATTCACATGGTCTGTAGTTTTTGAAAATTATATATAACGTTTCAAAATGTGTAGCAGACACGTGCCATAGTGTCTCGTCGGTAACCACCAATTACCTCTTATATTAGGTTGTCCCATAAATTTCTTCCCTTTTTTTCATAGGACATGAATACACGATGCGGAAGGAACTTATGGGACACCCTAATACCTTGCGTTTGACTTGTCCACCTGAGAAAGAAGCTTTTTGTAACTTACCGAATTCGATGCCGGTACCGTATGCCGGCGAAAGTCGTCATCTCGGCTTCGATGGTGGACACCGTTAACTGCCAAATAGGATTTATTTCAGAAACAAAAATAATTTATCTCAACTACGGTATTAACTATTTACAAACTTGTAACAAATTATTTCAAATAATACACCAATGCAGTTACCTCGGTGACGAAACAGTACAAAAATGTCCCTGAGTCTCTGCTCTTCTGTTTCATTTTCAATGTCCATATTTCTATCCTTTTCTTACTACATGGCATAATTTTATGTACTTATTTCATTTTCTACTCCGTTATTACCGCACTGTTTACAACGAAAGAAATTATGAATGTCAACATCGTCACTTCCTATTTGTTTTAGTTCATTCATTTCATGGATTAGTGGTATCGATGACGACTTGACGATGGTTCAAATTTAATACCTATGATTCACTAGTTGATATCGATAACTAGATATAATAGAAAGAAAGGACGAAGTATTTTCATTTAGAAATCGTTACAAAGAATTCGCCGGACACACTTGAACTTAAGTGCGCTATTATACAACCACTTTTATACCTTCCAGCATTCAAGGAATTGCAGAAAAAAATTAACATTTCACGATCTCTAAATGATCACCAGTGTTATCATCTATATACAAACGTGGAAAAGATTATTTTACAGAATTACAAAATAATTGACCCAGTTAGAAGTAGTGGCACAATGTGAATTGAAGTCAGCTCGAGCCATCGTCCTACGCGTAAGAAGCGGAGCTGCTGCATTAAGAGCCTGGGCGCGTTGTTTTCTTAAAATCTTAATCTAAAGGTTCGCGCACGGTATAACCGCGCATCGCATTACAAAAATGCAGGAGCGCACGTTAATGTCGTCCCGGACCGCAGCGCATCGGATTAAAACATACATTTTTCATTTCAATTATCAATTGACACCGTTTGCGTCCGTACGTTTTCCAAAACGGATAGTTCCAACGAAGAACTTCATTTATTTAAAATGCTTTTCGATGAAGAAATGGAGAAAATGAACTGAACAAAGAAAACGTATACGGTGTCACGACATTTACTTAAAAATAATGTTATTTGGAGAATTTCAAATATTTTTGACGATTTGCTCGAAGATGAAAAACAGGTTATGCGTCGATAAGAATTACCGAGGGCCGGTATGTGCTAACGGTATATTACAGACAATTTTCAAATCGCCTATATTCCGACGGTAACGGCACGGTCAACGGTAGTTATGTGCAAGTTCAAAACTCACGCCCCTATGCGATAAATGTTTCACATTGTGTTCACTGTTGCGCGGATCCGTCGCACACTTTGACGGGGCGGAGCGGGTCGCCGCGGTCTCCGCAAAAACCCCATCATGTCGCTAACAAAAACATTGGTCCCGCATTCGAACAACAATCGGAAGTGATTTCGAATAAAATTTCCGCAGCTCCGTCCTTCGCACACAGGACGATGGAAATCCATTCAACGTCCCAAGACACGCCTCAGCGATCATTTCGCGTTACGGTCGTTATAACCTCGATCAGCTTCGACGGAGCGAATTTAAACTTTCCACGCTTAAAGCGTTCTTCGCATCCATCGACAAGCGCAATCATCTTAATCTATTCCGATTTCCAGTTCTTGGAGTCCAGCCACGTCACTCGCGCGTTATGATTCTAACAAAGTTTCGCGACTAGGGTTTCCTCTCCGAGCTGGACACGCGTCTAGTCAATTGATGATGAATCGAGGATCCTGGCTGATCCTTGGACAAAACATTCGCCACTTCTGGCACGTTTACGATATTGGCAGGCTTGTTCGCTGGTGAGGCATCCATCACCAAACCGCGCAGGAACATTGCCACGCAACTCCACGGGAACACCCTGAAACCGAGAATTGAGAATTTCAAAACGGGATATTTCAATGAATAGTCAAAATATTGACATTTTACGATGTTGCTATCTGGACCGATCGGAATAACTATTACGATATTATAAAAAAAAAAAAACTCCTTCGATCGTCATCAAACGTGGAAACGCGAAACTTTTCCCTTTAGCCTCAAATAACAAAAAGTCAACCTCTAAAATAAAAGGTACAGTGAACAATAGCAGTGAAGTACATTTGCTGCGCTCCTACACGAAATTTCGTTAAACCGGGTTCAACGGTCCAAGTCAATAGCTGCTTTCCAAGTTGAATCATTCAAACGTAAGGGATTCAATAAATTTTATGTCATAACAGCGGAAAACAGCAAATATCTAAGACGTTGATAAGTCCACATGACAAGTAACTAATTTCATTCTCTTTTAATACTGAAAATTCATATAATTATTTCTCACCCATCCGAATATACGGTAAAAATTCAGAAGCGGTAATGTCACTACATGAATCCACTTGAGAGCGGCTCTACTTGTGTTTCGCAATCCAACCACAAAGAATGACATTGTTTATAGTTCTTTGATTTCTCCATTAGGACGAGCACACAATTACGAACATTGAGAAGAACAAGTTTCCTCGGTACTATGTCAAAAGAAACTCTTGCGGGTATTTCTGCGCCAATTGAAAGGGCAATGAGAAAAAAACTAGACTGCAATGAATTTAGGAGAAACGTAGCTCAAGGAACCATTAAGTGAAAGTAGTTTGTACTCCGTATTTCTTTTTTTTTTTTCGGCACATTCAGAAAGAGATTTTCGACCTACATTCTTTTCATCTTTCCCGCGATGGGTATCACTACTAGAAATCGCCCAAAACGGAATAGAGGAATCACATTTTGAAGAGTAATTATCTACCTAGGAAGGACCTACTACCCATCGTGATCACTGCAAATCAGTTTTTTACGGTTAGGAGAAATAATATAGTACATCATTCACGTGAAAAGCAGGATCCAGTAAGAGCAAGCCGACCACATTAAATCGTGACGCGTGAGACAAGGAAATCACATGGAATTCCCAAAGTATTCTGCGAAACGAATAAAATTCTCCAATGAAGACCAGAACGCGAAGGAACAAAATATCCACGAAATGTGTCAGTTGGTTAGTTTATAACGGATCGTATACTCTGAAATTTCCTTTCGTGTCCTATTCTGAGCAATATCTCATCGCTCTTTCAAAATTGACCCTTTGGATCCAATGACGGCCTCGCAGATGTACTATTTTTTTCTTACTTACTTACTTACTTATGTACTTTAACTTACTTACACTGTACACGAAGTGTGTGTTATAATTCGCTTACCATTTGAGGAGTAGGGCGCACTGAAGGTAGCTCGGCAATATGGCATACTTTTCGTTGCATCTCATTGCAGTGATAACTCTTTCGGCTACTTCATTGGAGCTGAGAGTTGGCACAAACCTGCAGTTAAAGGTTTGGTGTAATCTTTCTTTCGCTACTGCAGAACAATTAAATCTGTTAATTTTCACCGCAATGTGCACTCACAAGGAAACTTTTCGGAAGTAGAAACGGTGTCACGAGTACGAACGAACCGTCTAACCTCTTCATTATTTTTAATTATTTATAATTGCTTACGTTCTTTGCATTTTCCTTGTACATTCGCAGTATGTACTCGGTGTACCGATAACGAGAAAAGTTTTTCGATTACGGAAAAACAGTTTCAGACATGACGGTACATACGAGAAAGAAATCGAGGAAGAATGTGTCATGTTCCAAATCCTACCGTGCATCGCGAAATATTTAATCGTGGCCAAAAATCATGAAAGCAATCGATTAAATGTACCTAGATTGAACGTCGTCGAACATTCCGGTGCTGCGAATGAAGTATGGACATATGACCGTCGTTTGGATGTTGTATCCCGCGTGCTAGGGAACAAAATGTTAAACCATTATCTTTAAGTTGTTAAAAAATTAGATGTATTCTTTGGTTGAATCTTGAAAGTCTTAAATATAATACCGTATCTACTAGTAATTTCTTGTAAATTATAATTCGTTCGCGGTTAATGTCCACTAGTTGAAAAGGCGTCTGTGCGTTTGTACGTTATGAATCATTAAGATTCTGCTCGTGACGGGGTGCGATTACGTAAAAAAGACGCGCTGTGGTCAGATGCACCGACCAATCGCCAACATTTTACATCCATTTCCGCAATTGTATTTCTTTACTGGTCAGCACGAATATGCCTTCCCTTCGTAGTTTCTAATTGTTTGCGACCTCTGTCCTCGACCTTTTTCGAGTAAGCAATCTATGGACTCGCGGTCTTTGATTTCTCTGAAATCTTCATACGCGCGCAACTACAATCGGTACTAATCATTCTTGGCGCAGAGCGGCATCGAAGCTCCAAAGAGACACGCCACTTTCCCGTAGGAACGACGCGCAAGAGCACAACCGAATTCTCACCTCCAACTCCATTCGGAGACCTTCGTCAAATCCGACCGCTGCAAACTTCGAAGTGCAGTAATCCACCAACTTTGGGATCCCGACGTGACCTGCCAGACTCGCTATGCTGACTATATGTCCTTTGTTTTCTTCGATCATGCCAGGCAAAAACGCCTTCACGGTCTGGAAAGGAATGTTCGATAATTACTACACACTTATGACTCAGAGACACCCGGGGGATTCCTTAGACCTTCCGCTGCGGCAAAATGGTTTTGTTCACATTTTCCCAGTCGAATTTCTATTCAGGGATCACGTTCGCTATTTATTAAACGTGTCCTGTAGCGATCGAGCTCGTTACAACTATGCTCACCAGTCGGATAGAGATGAATGAACATTGGGAAATAGAAATAATCTACGAAAATAAGGATATATTTAGGGTATCGAATCTATGAGGGATAATGTTACAGTAAACGAATATAACGATTCGGGGCCAAAGTGGCGTAGAAATTTGCAAAGACTATTAAATCCCGAGGGACGTTGCGAAACCGGTGAAGTTTAATATTTTCTCCAACGAGAGGTCGGGTATAACTTTACGAGCACTATAATCCGTTCCTTAAAGGAAAGTAATGTCAGGTACTTAGTGTTAAATGGCTCCGGAGCTTGTAATAGCGTAATGCCTTCGTGTAAACAGAAGATCACCTAGGACTCTGGCATTAATGAGAAGCATCTTGTGGTTGCCTCCTGCAACCGTGGCCCACCGCTGGCACGCAAAGTTAGTTTTTTGGTGGTGCAACTGCGAGGGGGCTATCGTTTTAAAACGTATCTCTATCGATATCGAGATAACAATTATAGGATAACGGGCTGCTTCCACCATCGAGAATCGAAATGACCCATTGTCCGTATAAAAGTTAAGATCACCGTCGTAGTCAACGGGAGGACTAAGTCCGGATTAAGGTCGGAAGGGACACGCAACGATCAACGGGTTCCTCGGACGTAACATCGAGGATTTCGCGAAGGTCCATCACGTCATAACCGTTCAGGTCGGCACCAAGCATTCGACTCATTTAACTACCGGTTTTTGCGTCAGATAACATCAAGAGACTATCTTAACCGTGTTTAATCGTGTTACGCGATCGGATCACGTCCTCTTTACGCACGCTCCGCAGGATGTACTTTTTTTTCCATCCTTTTGTTTCTCGTTTCAAAGACGAAGCGCGTTGCGAAGGTAATCTCCCGGCAAACCTAACCTAAAAGTGCAACGCAACGTCCTCAACGGGCAATGAGTAATTCGCGTCGAAGCGGTTGCATAACACAAGTATTTCAGGAGTGCAGCAGTTTGTTTAGAAATTACCATGGGAAACCACGTACTTCGATGCCAACTTTTTTTCATGCACGGGGCGCTTCAAAAGTACATAGACTCGAGGACTAATTTGCCTCTTGGCCAGAATTAACTACCTGCGACGATTTAACACTTTGCACTCCAAGCAATTTGGCTATACGCAGATAGCTAACTCCAAGATCTGGCCTTAGGAGTGCAAAGGGTTAAATGTTTCCAACTAAAGGAATTCCTTGGCTCCGACAAAGTGATCTTGTAGATATCACATAAGCGGTTCGAATCACATGATCGCAAGTAGGTAGCAAATGGAAATGACTTTGTAAAAAAAATGTCATGGTCGTAACCGACATCGAGTACCGTTGCATGTCTAGACGAGTGAACCTGAATACCGGGTGACGAATGTTCCAATGTTATATTTAAACCGACACGCGACCATGTTCGCAACAGGTCGTACATCTTTCTCGTAAGAGGGAAGACGCGCGCCTTTAGAGATTTGTTTTTCCCGTCTGCATCGTTGGCGCTTCGGCGAAAAACATCCAACGTATTATCGATTCAATAAATGCGGTTCCGTACTTCCCAAATAACAAAATCCGTAAGTACCGCATTCCGTTCAAGTCCCTTGCAACGTCCCCTCGGTAATATATTTCGGTTTTGCATGATACGTCTTCGACTTACCCAGAAGTGACTCATTACGTTGACGTCCATGGTCCGGATGATCAGTTCATCCGGAGTATCGAGGAACGGTCTTCCCGAGACAACGCCAGCATTGTTGATGAGTATCGACACCTGTAAAGCAACAACGAAAGGCCGCGTTAGTTCATCCTTGCTTCATCGACGCGGACAACGGACCAGTCCCTTTGCCTTTGAAAAATGATCCCATTGCGCGGATGCACAAAATCGCAGCTGCTCGGTAGTCAATGATATGGAAAACCCAAGAGACCCTGGCCCCTGGATAAGGCCCCGGCACGATAATGCACATTGGTGGACGCGAATTCCTTCCGTTAATACGGTAGCGGCCTAACGAGACGCCGCCGCGACGAAGGCATCGTTCATCCCAAACGCAAACGAAGGATCGCGCCGACGTTGGCGCGATCCTTCCCCGAGGGAAGTCCCAGGTAGGAGTCGAGGGGCGAGTCGCGTCGTCCGGCCTCGCGCATGCTGGCGGCTCGCGTCTTGCAACTACACCGGGCTGACGTAATTCCCCGGACTTTCGCAACATTGTCCCTAGCGGTGGACGACTCGCCTATAGGCTGGCCACGGCGACGTTTTCTAAGGCCTTCGATCTCGTAAAAAACCATACCCGCCCGAGGAAACCCGTTTGATTCCGGTCCTCTCTACGTGGAATTTCAATCCGCGACGACGGTGGATTTATTACTCGATTTAAGTCGGCTAAATTCCATCCTCCAAAGTCTCAAATAGTGAATACCCCTGCCCATACCAACGAGAACCCATTACCTACTCGTTAAAATCAAGTACCGGTGACAAGTGGTTGTTTCTTTTCTTCCTTCCTAGTTTTTCACTTCGGGTAGTTTTCGGGTGATTTCTGGCATGTGATCTACCAAGATTGTAAGTTCTTGCTATTTATTTTTAAGGTTAACGAAAAACGGTCTACAAGTCCCACCGAATGGTCTACTTTTTATCACAGAATATTCCATTAAATCAAACGATCTTTAATATGAGACATATTTTATTCCTAGGAATCACTTAAGGTTACACGAAAGACGCCGAGGAAATCGATCGACGTACATTTATAAATCATTTAATACCTAAAAGGCTATTTTCACGTCGGCTTCACGTTCACGTCGGACGGTTCACGTCGGAAAACTGATATATCTTCAAGGTGATATGAAAGTAGCATTCTATACATATAAAACGTGAAAATATTTATAAAACTCTTCTCCAAACTGGGTGCACCGAATTACTTGGAACTTCGGCACGTTGTTATTAAGGCCCTAAGGAAGAATGCGTTGCTCATGAAATTTCATGTTTCAAAAAAGAAAATGTGGGTCCTTGGTTCTAGTCTTGGCTAAACAAAAAAATGGATTAAATTGAAATTTTATGAGCATCGCGTTATTTCTTAGGGCCTCCATTCTCACGTGCTGAAATTTCGAATGATTCCGTGCACCCAGTTTGGAGAAAAGTTTTATAAATATTTTGATGCTTTATATATAGATTCTCATATCACCTTAAATTCTTGTAACGTTTCACATTTTTTAAATGCCTGCGTAACCAGCAGTTCCCCCGATTTACCTACGCGCATATTAGCGAGTACTCTTAAATGAAAAAATCTGATGTGATAGGAACGGGAAGGACACGGCGTAAATAGATAACATTTGGTAAGGAATTGACTTACCTTGCCAACCTCTTCCCTTAAGACTTGTGCCTTCTTGTAGACATCTTGTCGATCGCAGAGATCGCAAACGTACCCGTAACACGTACCGCCAGCGGCTTGCACCAATTTTACAGTTTCTTCGATGCCTACGGACAAGATAAATGAAAAAGTGAGAAAATAGAAATGTCAGAAAGTCAGTGGAATGACAGCTGGAAGTGCGATTTTAACTGCGTAAAAGCGGTTCGGAATTATCATTTCCGTTAGTAGAGCGCTCTGGGTTGTCTGCGAACTAAGTTAAAGACGGTCGACAAGTAGCAACAGCGAGTATCAAAATCTGCGCGTTAAAAGTTAAAGACGGTTTATAGCAGCACCTTTCAATTTCTAACGATTCGATTAACGCTTTGAAATCGAAGAACGTTCGAACTGACGGGTCAACGAGAAAACAAAATTACGATGAATTTGCGACTATACGAGATACGTTTACGTAAACGTCTAAAATTGCAACCACATTAGTGGCTGCGTTATTATGACATCGACTTGCACAACTCCGAGAAATCATATTTCCTCTGGAAACGTGACTAATCGCTCGTAGGGTTAGAACGCATCGGCGAATCGAAAAAAACGTGCCTGCTGATAACCCCGCGGTTCCTCTCGTTACTCTACTCAATTACTTCTATCGCGTCGCTTCTATCCATGGATACGAAAGTTCCGTGCATAATAAGTCGGTGTGGTTAATTTCATTTTTAATCCGTTAAAATGTACACATTTTCAGGATTCTTGTAAGAATTCTGCACTTTGAAAAATTAAGAAGGTAATGACATTAAGAGTTTCCCGTTAAAAAATAACCATATTCAGGAGGGCGAGTCGATGAACCGAAAGCTCGATGGAGTCTGAAGTATTTGCCAATGAACGTTCTTAGCGTCTAAGAGGAATGACCAAGATTTCAAGTCGACGTTTCAGTTAATTCCATTTAAAAGTCTGGGGAAACACTTGGATGAATCACCCTGTATATTACGCACGTCTGCAAGTGCACAGCACGATGTGTACAAATCGCAAGTGTACTTTCAATGCCGAGTAGAAAGTCTGATCTTGCCGAGTGTTTCTTGTTTCGCTACATGATCAAGTGGATCGCCTACCGACTTTTTCACCCAAAACGTCTTCGTAATTGAAATTAACCTCTAGAGAACGTATCCATGGAATTTGATCTTCAAGGACCGTTCCAAGTCGTGTTTCTCATCGGCGTGACGAGACGATATCGAAAGTTAATCTCGAATTGGAAGATGCAGACCATTCGTGTCTACGTGAATTTGCCGCGTTGGTCGAGTATACTTTCTGGATGCAATGGAGAGGACTCGTCAGCAGATAGAGGCATTATCAAAGGTTAATAAATCCATAACCTTTCGTTATCTCGTCTTGCTAATGACCGTTTTTGCTTTCAACTTATTACCACGCCCCGCTGGAATTTAAGTAGCGATCGTGCGTCGAACGTCCACTTTTTCGCGACGAATACGATTCTCGTCGAATCCAGTTTTCTCCCGTCATTATTTCATTAATTCTCCCCGTATCGGTTCGATATCCGTGCCGTGCTATCCGAAATTGAAAAAAAAAAAGACTTTATACTTCTGGCGTTCGTTCGATGGATCTTTTCGACATCGTCGGCGACAACGCCTTCCGAGAATGGAGGGTCGTCTTGTCTAAATAGTTTTCGGACCGCCGTTCTTCTGATTTTACCGACAGCGGGTAAATCGGACTTAAACCGAGAGAACCGTCTGCCCGGCCGAGTCCGAGGCACCTGTTCTCGCTCCAGATTTTATTTAGTTCAATGCTGCGAGCGCAAACACGTTTGGCAACTGGCCCGAATACGAAACAGGTTTAACGCATCGCTTCGGTGCGGCTCAACGTCCTATTTACTTCGAAATCTTTCATCCAGCGATCGGACGAACGACCTCGCATTTTGGCTTTAATACGGCTCGAACGAGATCAAGATAAACGTTTCCCATTCGGGGCAGAACTCTTCTATTTCGTAACAAGGTCCGTTGCGGACGGTTCGGTCCAATACCCTTGGAAAAAATTGTCTTACTCGGGTCTACCGATTTGAGGTGGGTTTCGCTTCACCTTAATCGACAACGTTTGGCGCCGAGGCGGACGCGGGTGCACGCGGGCTGCTCGTGCAGGAGACACGCAACGGCCAGCCGAGTTTGGTCCAGGCCGCTTTGCGTGTGTCGGCGCCACTCGACTCTGATAATACTCGTACTAGAAGGCGCACTCGCTGCTAATTTCAAGCCGCTACCTCCATTTCTCCGTTGTACAGTCCGTCAACAAGTTTTGCCGATTGGTTAGGTTTCTTTTAGTGCCAAGGACGGTCTTGGCGCTTCCATAACCACGTGTTAAAATTTAAAACGACTCGGTACATCCATTTTTTTACAAAGTTTATCCGCGTAGCTGCGATTGCGTTCAATGCGCAAAACGCAGAGACCCGCGCGGAAAACTGAGAAGAAGGAAATGCCCTCCGAGACCATTTCTCTCCGTCCAAACGAGAAGTGTTATTGGATGTAAGGATCGCGATATTATTAGAATTCTGTAGCGATGAGGACTCGGGCGAGTTCGACGCTCCATCTGGACTCTCGGATGTTTTCGGCGAGCGTCGCGGCCGCCGTTTGCCCAAAGATCGCAGCCGTTACGCGATACTCGACGGATACTCGATTAATCCTTTCGCTACTAACGGTGACTATAGTCACCCAACGCCTGACGATCGCTAAGAAATATTTGTTTAATTTGTTAGATATTGCCGTTTGGAATTCTTATCGTTTACATAAATACAAAACACCCAAAGATATTTCTATAGCTGCTTTTCATCTTGAATCAATAAGACAAATATTACGGAAATACCATAAAAACGATTGTAGACAAAGCGCTCCTAGATCCGCGGATAAACATCCTTTTAGGCTTACCCCGTTAGAGACCCTTCCTGGCGATTTCCCCTAGCGCGAAAACAAAACGAAAAAGCGGATTGAGAAAGGGTATTGTTTGTATTAAAAATAGGGCGCAACGACAAACGCATTACCAATGTAAGATATGTGACGAAGGATTTTGGGTATACCCGTGCTCTGAAACTCTTCATACGAAATTACATTGTTAAATTGTATTTTCTAGGTGCATTATAAATAAAGCGTTAATAATTGACCTCACGTCCCTGGACGTTAAAAAAGATACGTTCTTTCGGCAGTGAAATTGAAGCGCGTCTTCGTTGGGATTGCCCCGTACTCTCGGCAGCGCTTCTACGAGCCGATCCGCCGTAGCGAAAAGGTTAGGTTGACCGACCACTCGTCTTACGGCGAAAGGGTTGCCGCGTGTTCGCATGGGACAGATTTTCGAAAGTGCGATTCCCTCCTAGGTAAAAGTGCTCGCCAATTACGGTGTCGAATTTTTATACAAGAAAATGGCCCTGTGTGGAAAATCGCTCCCGTACGTGCACGCGACGGTTCTTTATCACCAAAATGGGCACGCGATCGAGGGCAGAAAGCGGTGCCAATCGGCGGAGTGACGAACGATCTTAACACTTTACCGACCGGAAGCCTATTAATCGATTTTGCGATATCCGTGATCGCCATTTACTTCCAGATTCACCGGTCGGTAAAGTGTTAAGAGGTATCGCCGACGACGAGAACTCGGTGGATGATTATCCGATGGAAGCATTTGTCAGCGGTGACGTGAAAACCGCAGACCGAGAATGCCGAACACTTTCACTGAACCTGACCTTGGCATTGGCTCGAGTACTTTCTTCTTTATTCTTCGAACCGGTCGGCGATCCCCCTTCTTTCTTTCGTTCTGTCTTTCCTTTTCTTTTCTTTTCTCCCCCTTGTCGTTCTCTACCGACTCGACGGAAGTTTTAAACTTGGGCAAAGACAAGCGAAACGCGGCAAAAAGTTTACTTTCTAATCGATATTTACTGTTTGGGGCCATCTAGACGTTTCTTGCTAAAGAAGCAAAATTATGACAAAATTGTAGCATCAAGAGGAAAAGAATACGTACCAAGTTTCGACTATATTTATTTCGAATATCGAAGACATTGGATCTGACATTACCGGAACGTAAACCTCCAAAGTTCACTGGAATATTTTCATTATTGATACTTACAGTCCCTATTTATTTGTCCACATTCGCTGCAACGCCGATTCCCGTCGTGTCAGGGTTTTAAAACGCGTCGCGTTTAATATCTAACGTTACACGGAATTCGTCCCTTTTGACGTCAATGGAAAGATGTTGCATGTCATTGAAATTCTTCTCTTTATTGGCATAAAAACTTGGTGCAAAAGTTGCCGAAGGACGCGCGTTAATCGTGACCCGCGAAGAATCGAAGAATATTACGCGATTACTCGCGTCAAGTAGAAACCGAGATTCGATTGGCAAAGTGATCGTCTCGTCGATCGGGATAAACGATCCTGCGAGCACCTTTTCAAACTCTTTTCGCGATCGAAAGTACGTTTCGACCAGCCGCGGTGCCTGAAAGTAATCAACTGCATCGATTCAACGAGATAAGTTTTTACAGACGAGAGCTCTCTTGTTCGTCGGTGACTCCACTACCCACCCGTATCAAGAAATGATATAAAGCGTAAATTTAATCCAAGATAGAATAACGAACGGTACTTTAAATTGATTTCTTAACCAGTTCACTGTGTCGACCTATCTGAAACGTGTGTTTTCATGACGAGTATACTCGTCAAACACAGCTAACTGGTTAATGTACACATAAGACCTAGGAGCCACGTGCGACGTTTCGGTTACGCAACGACTTGATCCGTCAATGGCTAAAACGTGCCGACGGACGCAACTCTACCGTGTCAAATAGGAATTGAATTGCAACCGATAGTAAATCTGCGTCGAAACACCATCCGTTTAGTTGGCCGACGTGTACTAGTGTGTCGGATGCGCGTAGGGACACTCTCGTATAAACTCGTAATTACTCGAGCAACTAAAGTGCCGTGCCGAAGACTATTAAAGGAATCAAAAAGAATGACTCGCAGCTTCGACAAAATCCCAAACGTAAAATGAAATCCCTCTCGACTGGTTTTCGCGCGGATTGGCCACGGTAAAGATCAAGTGACGATTCTACTTATGAGACCACTAAAAATAGGTCTTCCAGAAACTAGTCGGTCGGATCTTTGACTCTTCCGGGATCAAGGCACGCCTTGTAAAAAATCCTTTTTCGGCCTATCAAAAGTGACCTTGCATTCGCGTTCCTTTCATGGAAGTTGTCTTCGTCTTGGACATCTGCCGCGCAGTTCGCGATTGGCCAACTTTGGTAATTAACGACTCTGGAAATAGTTACCCGAGGAGAAAACGGCAAAAGAAGCGTTCACTTCAAATTGCGTCAACTTTCGTCAGGTTCGTGGGTCACCGCGACTTGTGCGACACCCTGTACATTAAGAGTTACAGTTGGAATGTATTTTGAAGGCACAACGAAACGAGATTGTAAAAAGTTGAACCGAAATTTTCGTCGGAGAAGTTTTCGAGAGTCGAGTCACGACGTCCAATAGGCCGCGATTGAATTAAGTTCGATCACGTATCGGCGATCCTTCGTTAGATCAGCTGACGAGGTCTAAATTGTGACCTTGATCGAATCGGGACTAAGGTTCTCCTTCTTGCCCGTACTTCGCGAACCGTGTACGACCATTTACCGAGGAAATACCCTCAAGCCTCGGTGCGCGCACAATTCTTACACGGGGTGTTGCTAAAAGATGGACCCGATTTTAGTTGGAAAGTGTCTCGTTGAAGTGAGAAGGACTCCACCGTTTCGCATCGCTTTGCATCGGAACGGTACGCAGAAGCGAAAGCTGGCATTTTTGAGAGATGTTCAAGCGAATCCGTCTGCCGGTCACGTAACGAAGATCCTTCGATCGGCCGGCCGTTGAGGACGAAATTCTAACCTTCGTGGGGGAATCGAGGCTAACTGCCCCTTGAACGAAGAAACCCGAACGACACGGCCTCGTCGAAACGTCCTCGATGAGGAAACGTTTACGACCCGCACAGCCGATAAAACGTCCGGGGGAATTAAACTTCAGCCTTGCGAGCTGCCAATCTCCGACGAATGTAGTCGATTCACCCAGCGGAATGTACATCGAGGGACACGAATTGCGTACGATATACGGTATTCGTTAGATCATAAACGCCTATTGGCACATTTCTATACGCGTCAAGATTTTCAAGGAATAATTAATTTGACGCTCGCGTTCAAAATGCTTTCGACTTCTGTCGGCTTCCAACGGAACGGAAAGAAGAGGAACGGGGAGGTTGTCCATTGTCACTCTCGCTCTTTTACCTTTGATGCAGGCTGTCGGTATGTCGCGCCGCGCGTTTCGCGCAGAGAAAAAGAGAAAGGGCGAGAAGCCTCTCCCCTCTTTTTCGTTCGGTTGTGCCGCCTTCGCGGTTGGATCCCGGTCTATTCAAAGACCGTGGGCTTTCCTGGATCCGCAATCGCGGAACCGTGGAGCTTTCCACGAGACGAGTTATCTCGTAAACGGCCACTTCGTTATCCCCTTAACGCAATTGCAAACAAATTAACGATAACCTTTAATACTTCCAGCATCGACAATAAGAACGATATCTCTGCTATTGAGATACATATTTATCAACTGCGGAATATAATTACTTGTTTACGCGAAACTCTACTCCAACGATTCGTCGATTTTCAACGTGTTTATCGAAAGGATAATTATTCTTTATAATTATGAATACTCCCTGTACCGACAAGGACGGTTATCGATTAAGTCTGGTTAAATACATGAAACTAAGGAGTAAGAATTCCTGCACAGGGTGACTCGATCGCGTACAACTTTAAACAATCGCCCCGTCAAACGGTTGCGTGGAAACACTTTTGTTACCAAAATGCGCGCACGTTCCAAATATTTCGTGCAAAGTCGATGGAATTACGGGTCGTTATTTATTTTCGGAACTAGTAATGATTCCATTGGGAAACGGACGGTCATTTATTCTCGATCGCGTTAAACTGTGTGGTCGACGGCGGCCATTTGTGAAACAAAGTGCCATAACCTCAAATCGTTTTCGAAGAATTTCTCATTACAATCGAAACGCGTCCACCCGATAAGAAAACAATTTTCGAGAAACCTGAAATTTACATTCCCGTTGTGTCGTTAGTACAAACGAGAAGGACCCATTAACTTTCCGGACAACGTATTTCGCGCCAAGAATTTCGATCAACCAAGCGTTAAGGTTAAGCGAAACGCGTCGAGAAATCTGATCGACGTCGATAAGAAAAATTCTTCTAAATACCTATACATCTTCCGCGTGCGAGAGCAAGAAGAACGGAAAACACCGACGTATTCTTGTCTCCGTTCGATGGACCTTACCTTGCCGCGGCGTCGCGGATGGGTAAGGTTTCGCGAAAGCCGTCTAGGAAAATGGACGCGCCCTCCCCAGGAGTACAGGAGTTTGCGGACTCTCGCGTAGGAGCGTGGTGGGAGCGCGCAGCTGCGCGCAGCTGCGCGTGGGTGCGCGCGCAGCCGAGCGAGCCGGCGCCGGACTCACCGGAGCTATTGATGTCCCAGACGACGACGACGGCCCCGAGGTCGGCCAGGCGCAGCGACAGGAGTCGACCGAGTCCGCCGCCGCCCCCGGTCACCAGGGCGATCTCCCCGGAGATGTTCTTCATCTTGTACTTGACCGGGATGAAGGACTTGACGATGCTCTCCAAGATGGCGATCAACGAGAGCAACAGGAACCCGACCACGTCCCCGATAGAGCGCACCAGCGACATCTTCCCTGCTCGACGAGAACCACTGCGGCGTCGAGACTTTTTCTCTCCCTCCCTCTCTCGCCCTCTCTTTCTCTCTTTGTTTTTCGGAAGACCTCGTCGAAGATCAGGATCTCATAGCTTCCATGAGAGACGGCGCTCGACGCGGAGCTCGCGAAGCTCTGGGTGAGGTTAGGTCGCGCCTCTTCGGTGGTCACGAAAAGTGCGCGGCTTTCGTTTGTCGAATGTTGCTCGAAGCCACCCGAATTCAGTCGAGGCGACGACTGCACACTTCTCTGAAAACAAAAGTTTATCGATTATTTTCGGTTTACTCTTTACTTATCCTTTATTTTATTTATTCGGCGGAAGCAGCGCAGTTCGAAGCAAGTTCGATGAAGATTCCGACCATTTAACTGACATCGAATAGTAAGCCATAAACATTACGCGTATCACGGAATCCGTAAGATTCTACAAAGTCGATTAACACGTTGAGTGCGGCGTCGGTCCCTGGGGACCGACAGTGAACTTTCCGTCTGGGCGGCGTCGGTCCCTCGGGACTGACACGGCATCAAGAATCCTATATATAAAAAATTGTGCCGCCCAAACGGAAAGCTCAGCAAAATCGGTTCCGCGCTCAACGTGTTAATGCGTTCGCTGTCAGCATCACATATTTGTGACAGTTTCAACCGCTTAAACAACCGCTTAAAAAACCCCCGTGCCGGCGGTTTTTCGATTAAACCACGGTAGCCAACGTACCAAGGGTTAAAGGTCCTGACAATATTCCAGACAAACATTTGTAAATCGGAGCTGCGCTTGAAAAAGGACTATAAATGTAGCTTTGAACGGTACATATGGAATCGGAATATGTTTACCGCAACTCGGTATTCACCACTGCAGTCCCAACGATTACATTTGCGCAAGGAGGAATTATTAAAGTTATTATAACGATCCTTTAACGATCGAGCGGGTGTTATGGTCACATCATCATTTTTCTCCGTGCATACGTATGACAATTGAACCAATCGGCCAATCGAGGAACCCAAAATTTCATTTAATCGTTCTATCCGCAAAAGTAACGTATTCCCGGACTATTGAAAAGGGGAATCATCATTATCCGAAAGAGGGGTAAGCCGACGCGATCGCATAAGTCGACGTACTTCACAAGATCCTGAGCGAACTTCTTTGAACCACTTCTTTGTGGGAGAAGCGCGGATCCGAGTTTACGCAACGCCGAGTGGCCGGTCGAGCCGATGCGGACAGTTTTATCAAAATCTTTGCGAAGAGATGAAAGTGGTCACGGCGAGATTCGGGCGTCAGTAGAAAGTGAATCGCTGACATATATTCACGGAAGAGATGTTCTTCCTCGAGGCGTTCAAATCAAGTTAGCTTCAATGTAGACTAACGGAGACCCTTTTTCGCCAACGCTTGACTCGATCGTTAACCATTTAACGTTACCGACTGGTCGAAACGCGCCGATCTTTGGACATCGGTAACTAAATACATCAAGTAATTCGTCTCTTCCTAATCATCGGCAATTCTAGTATATGGCTAATATTCTCAATGATCGCAAAACTTTAAGGTGATGTGAAAGTGGCGTCAGAGGTCTCGTTTATGAAACCGTTCTCTAATCTGGGTGTACCGAATCGCTTCAAATCTTATCACGCGAACACGGAGGTTCTATGGAAAGTCCGGGCACCTGTGAAATTTCAATTTTTTAAACTTATTTTTTGGATATTTTTTAAATTTGTATAAAAAATTTAATTTTATGAGTGGAAACTTATTCTCTCCGTCACTATATGAGAAAAAAAATAACGTTTCACCTACTGAAAAGAATCAAGCAAAAATCATGATTTTTAATCACGCCGATCTCCTCAGTCGGTTCTCCGCCGGCGCAATTAACTCTAATAGCCGCAACGAAGCGTCCAAAATGGCACGTCACTCGAGTGCAAGAATACCCAACCAATTTACACTTGACATCTCGTCGACTTCGGCAAATGACGCTAATCAACTCATGCGCTCACTTTCCATTCTATGTTTTGTCGGTCGAAATTTAAGTGCAGCCTGCGATTTAGATTTTACTTTGGCACTGTTTCCATGCCAAAGACCATCTGGCTTTTTTCAATGTTTATCTGGGCTGGGGAATCCTAAATAACTCCGCCATCGTTCAAGTACGATACCGAGCACCTTCCAAGGAACGTGTCTGGGATATTTCGCGGCATGCAGACATTTGCATATCGTAGTACGGCATCTGACAGGTGTCTGTTACCTTTCACCACGTCAAGGAGATCATTACTTCGGTGTCTTTGGGAATCGTACCAATCAAAGATTCCCGATTGTGTCGGTGGATGCGGCTGGTAAAAATGATCGTCAACGACTAAATATATTGGAAAGATCTACAAAATTTCCCAGAATGGACGATCGGTAAGTTGTGGCCGTGATTCCTGGCATCGCTACTTACTGGCCATCCGTCCCGAGGCATCCCGTATGCACCGTTCGATTTCTATTTCGACGTCCATGCTTACCCTCGACGCATGGACGTATAATATATGGATCGCTCACTCCCTACGCGTGAATATGGCTTCGATTGGGTCTATCGGACCGACGAGAGAACGAGAACTGGTGCGATTGGATCTACTCTTGCCGGCGCAACAGGAGGACGCGGTCAAGTCATTTGCGTATGTGTCTATGTATATCGCTGTCGACCGCTGTCAACCAACCGTCGAGAGCTCCCTGCGCATTCGACCTGCGCAGACAAGCGTAGACCCGATCGCGCCAGTCCTCGTTCTCTCGCCGTTCTGCGAGCGGACACCGAACGAGCGGTCCGTGTATTATACGTCCATGCCTCAACGTTCCTTTTCTTCTTTTAGCATTTCGGAACTGCTACTTCGGCGCTTTATGGCGTCAACCTTTAGAAAGCCCTTTTTCGTAATAACGGAGGGACGGCTGCGTCTTTTGTCAACGTTTAATTGGAAAAGATCTATTTATTATGAATAAAAAATAAGACGCACACCTTTTCGTCCACGTCGAAAAATTCTATCACTGACGCGTAATTTAACCTCGCTATAAGAGAAACGGATTACGCATAAAAATTAGTAAGTTACATAATTCTCTATGAATTACGATGACATACTGCGAAGTGTCATGCCGATATGTCAAACGGACGTTGAAATTATTTCCGATGAAAGTGTAATCAGAACCGGAGGCAGTTAGCGTAGAAAGTAAGAACCACACAACGCGGACTCGATTTGACTAGTTAATTATGTTTGCCCGCGTCAAGAGTTGTACCTCGACATGAATGTTGCTGTTACTTTATATTTGCGTATTATGTTAATGCCGCGTGTCGTCGTACGTGAAATTAAACGTGCCATGTTTAAAGCGAACGTTTATGTCGAGACGGTGAGTCAACAAAGTTATGAATTTTAATTCTTTGCGTACCAGAATATCGCATGGTATCTTGGACGCCCGGTGGAACGTAATCTTACTTTACTTTTAATAAACCTTGGTTTAATTACAACTATGTGGCACTAAGTTAAGCGGTAATCTAGTCGCTTTGTCGCCGTCAATGGCCCGCAAATTTTACGACACTCTTTCTTTCGTCGTTCCGCAAACCTTTGAAGGTCTTCCAGTCGGGGCCGAAGAAAAGCGGCCAAATTAAAGATCGTTTTTATTGGCGGTGTCGTCACAGGGATTAGATATCACGTCTCTCGACGTTAAGGCGCGCGGTTGTATATCTCGAAGGCATTTGGCAATCGAGATAAATGAGTGCGACGTCACCGTGCATTTTACGATCATGCAAATTGGCCTTTTCGAGTTGCGCGCCAATCCCGCTCGATCGAGGTTCGCTTCATCTGCCCCGACACCTCCAACCTTATCGTCGCCTTCGAAATATTAATATCATTTTTCGCAACGTCATGTTGACTGGACGCGTTGTCTCGCGATTACTCGGAATGTACCAAAAATAGCTGAACAAAACTTAGGAACTGGAAGAATTCTGATTCTGCCGATCGCGGTTGTTAAATAAACAGTTACAAGAGACCATCTCACTGAGCGTAGCCAATGGGAAGCGTTACAAGAGTCAAGGTTATAAAAGTGACAAGAGCCTTCGAAAGAATAGCCTTCAAGGAAAAATAGTTAGTTTTGCGCACTCCGCGTATCGATGGTGGTATCCATGCACCGTTCGCGCGTCGGTCTTACGCAGAAGTCGTCTGGTCGATTCCAATGCAGCCAGTGGACTCGCCGCAGGCGGAACCGATCAAGTTCCGCGTAAAGCCGTCGCCGATTCACGCGATTCGACACGTGCCGGTGTCGATCCAACAAAATGTCGAGGGATGCGTTTCAGCGGGACCGTTGACGCTATCCGGCATCGATCCGCGATCGGTAATTGGACTCGGTCGTAAGATCCACCTGTACGTGCTGGAGAGCGACCCGAGTCGTCTTATTTTCCGAGGGTCTGCTCACAGTAGTGTCGACAGGACCGAGAACTGCCGGAAACAAAGAAAGGAATCGAGTCGGGATTGCTCGTCGTCGTTAACCTCTTCCACGAGAACTTTGATACCCGGATGCCTTTAAATGTATTTTCAAACCGTTCGTTTGGATTGCCCAGCCGAATCGCTAAGAGTTTCCTCGGTTAACGTCTGCAGTGAATGAGAAAAAAAGAATCGCGCGTTTCAGCGTCTTGGGTTTCTTGGAAATTCAGAGATTGCTTATCTCTCGGAGCTTCGTTCCCGGTAAAGAGGTTAGGGTCGATAGCGAGGAGTCGATTAAACGGCGAGCTTGAGAGAGACGTTTCTCTTTCGAGTATCCTAACCTCTAGGTTCAAGGACGCCGCTGAATATCTCGATAAGGACGCGTCGGATACAGATTATTCCACGACTCCTTTTCGCCGCCTAGTGAAATACAGTTTTTAGTACCTAAATACCCAGCTATGTCCGTTTTGGGAACGGTGCTTGAATCCTCTCTCACTTTTAGCCCTCGCGAAGTCACTTTACGGGTCCTCCGCTCAATTCTTAACCTAATTAACAAGTGCATATAAAATGTAATGCTGACGGCAATTACGGCGCACGCGTCACGTACAATATTTCTACGGAATTACCCTCTACCGATAACTTGCGTTCCAAATGTTGCCGATCGAAATATTGCTTACCCCGTTCTTTCGTCATAATGACAATTTCACTTTCATCAATTTCAATGCTTTCTTGCCAATATTCCTTGCCAAGTATAGGAAGTATAAACGTTAGAAATCGAGAGACGTTAAAGTGATAAATTTGAGTAATATAATTAATTCCAGTAATTTGCGCGCGTTCCAGATCCCACGTTAACGTGACGCGACTTGGTTTTTGTTTTGTTGGGGGACCCGCAATTTCATGAATTGTAAACGGCAAATATAAATTAGGGTCATTTAGTCGTCACACGTACTTCTGGGAACCCGACAATTACTAATTGTTTCATGGTCTCTAATGGCGATCGAATTAAGCGCGAAGCTGGAAAATATTTACCCCGCTCGAAAGCCGTCTCGCTCGAAGAAGTTGCATTCTTCGAGTTCAAGGACAGCAAATCTAAATAACGAGTTCTTTAGCAAAGAGGGAGACAGATATTGTTTAGGCCTCGAGCGGAACGATTTATACGATAACGTAAGAAACCTCTCCTGAATCGAGAGTTCGCAGCGGGTCAAAAGAACTTTTTCAAATAGTCCCGCTTCGAGTATATCGGAAAAACGTTCGAGCATCGACTATCGGACCCGGTCAAAGTTATCTCGCGGAAGCGGCTCGAAAAGTGCCTCCCGGAATCATCGGATATAATCGAGGCGCAACGTGCCGGTAACGTACCGCCAATCTACTCGGCGTCGCAATAAATCGAAATGGAAATTCAAATCTCTTTTACGTAAACCCGTCGAGATATCGAAGGAATCGGTTAAGTCGCTTACTTCATCTCGGACGTAAACTTCAACGCCTGAATTAACGACAGCCGAGCACGGTCAAGGTATCGCGGCTCACCCGCAGAAAGAACATCACTTTTCGGACGAGTCTTGATGTCATTTATGCACGCGTGATGTACGTTCAACGTCACAATGGACCCTAGCGTATAATACATGAACGTAGGATACGCGTGGAGTCCATGTCCAGTCCAGTCCGTTTTCTTTCTCCCTGTCTCCCTCCCTCCCTCTTCGGGTGAAATAGTTGTCCAGGGCGTATGGGGTATGGTTTAACTACGAAAAGAAGAGAGGGGGGAAGGAATGATCCCTCGGCTCTTCTCATCTCTTCTCTTCTTCCGCCGTCTTTGCAAGAATACCAGGGGAATGATTTGTTGCAGGATACATGTGCCCAAAATTCGTTTGCATAAAATTGGAAAATAATTTAATCGTTCGGAATCGTTAACCTGAAATCGAACACTCCCGATTAATGACTGTTGGACATAATTAATTATACTTCGCACGTACACACACCGGATCCGAGACGAATCGGACGCGGATAAACGAACCCTTATGGTCAGGGTCGAGGTTAAACTTGAGACTGACAAAAATAAATATAAAAATATACACACTGGTACGATATAGCCAACCCTCCCCTATCAAAGGATCGTTACCATTCGGACGAAGTTCGACCGTACTCTCGTGTTGCGGGAAAGAAATTCACCTAGAACGAATCATTTATCATTATACGATCCGTGATCTCTTGCCGTTAGTAAAACGTTTCCTTTTATATTATTTGACATGGTGGTCGCTCAAAAACATTGCCGTGTACTCGCGAGACGCCTTGGAAAGCGACCGGGACTCAAGAAATGTTTCGACATGCCGAATAATAATCATTAATTCGGCGTCCTCCGCCTGAAATTCCAGTCTTGTCGATGGCCTTCTAGAAAACGTACGATCTCCGAAAACGGTGAAAAAGGTCTCATCCATGGCCGAACGGCCGAACGGGTCTCGAAATTTCTAGGGCGGGGAGCGACCGTTCGCAATTAGCGATGGCCAGCTTCATCGAACGACCGACCAGAGGCCTCTATGATATAAATTAGAATTATCGTAGTCTTCACCGGCAAGTGCCATTCCTCACTTTTACTAGACCCTTAATACGTTTCCCGTCGAAGGTATCTGAGGTTTCTGACGTGGAAAAGTATTCGACCACGCTGTCTCGGATACGGCACGAATCGATAAATAAATAACCCGCCCATGCATTTTGGCCACCGAGAGAAACAGATCTGCACCGTTAAATCCAAGCAAAATTTTAACATAATCCGCCTAAAATTTACTTTTCTAGGGTTTAAATCATTGGTTGACTCGTTGCCACCGTCTCAGTATCTGGTTTTTCCTGTTTTTCCGGTTAGGATATTATGAAACTGGAGCGGCGAGAGAAAAAGGTCTTGAGAAAAGGTTCAAAGTACGGACACTTTAAAGGCGTCGAACAATCGTTAGTCCTTCGCTCGTCATCCTGAAATCAGGCGAACAAAGGGAGATCCAAGATGCCGGATTTAAAGTGATATGAAAGTGTCATATCTACGTACCAAAAAGTCCAAATATACATAAAACTTTTCTCCAAATTGGGTGCATCGAATCATTTGAAATTTCATCACGAGATTATGGAGGCCCTAAGGAAGTACGC